TTGGTCTAGTAGGTGGCGAGATATCGTTTCCCACGCCTCTTAACACAGTCTCCTGATTCCTTCTCCTTTTTCCCTCCAGATATCGGATTGGTCTGAACGATGCAGTGCGAATGCAGATCCGCAGCGTGTGCGTATCGGCTGTTGGCTAAGTGTCTTCATTGGTCTCCGTGATGCGTTGACGCATGGCTTGCATAAGGTGTCGCACGTGCCACGGTGACCTCAGGGAGAGGACTTCGATTGTAAGAGAAGCGTGTGCTGATGGTGATGGTGATGCTGATGGTGAGGGGAATGAGGAGGAGGAGGAGGAGGAGGAGCACAGCATCTTAATGAGGATGAAGACCATGAGGCGGGACGGAGGGTGGTTTGAAGGCATGAAGCGGAGGTGGGGAGACGCACCCGATATGTCAGCGGAGGAGGATGCAGAGGATGTGCAAGCGGACCACCTAGAAAACTATGTGATGAATAGCACATGGCGCTGGGAGAACATCGACAGCGACAGTTATAGAGATGCATTGCGGAGCGGGTGCAACATCCGGCTGTGCAGCGACGGCGGCCGCTGGTACCGAGACGGCTCTGCTGGATGTGCTTGGGTCTTGTATTGTGTGCAACGGTACGGTGAAGCATGGGAGTTTTCTATCTTGGGGCATGCAGGTTTTCAGGTGAGCGGTGCAACATCGGCATTTGTCGCATAGATTTTAGCTTTAGACGCAGCGTTGGCAACTCTCTCGCTCGTACTTGGATTGTTTACTGGGCAGTGTGTGTGTGTAATATGTTGGGAGCGCCACGGCGCCAATCCTTGCGGAAGAAACAAGAAGTAATGTGATGCGAATGTTGATGACGATAACGACAGCGATGATGCCGATGCTGCTGCTGATGGTGATGGTGGTGATGATGATGCAGATACTGCTGATGATTATTATGATGCTGATGCTGATGATGCTGACGCCGATGCTGTTCATGATTATGATGTTGATAACTGCTATGAGCCGATTATGATGGTGCTGTTGTTGGTGATGATAATGTTGAGAATGGTGATGGCAATTATGATTTTACGGAGGAGTAAGAGGAATTATGTTAATGATGCAGGTGGTGATGATGAGGAGGATTATGCTGGTGATGCTGATGATGATGCTGTTGATGCTGATGCTGATGATGATAATGTTGAGGATGATGAGGGGGAGGGGGAGGAGGAGGATGAAGAGAAGGCGGAGTAGGAAACGGAGGAGGAGGAAACGGAGGAGGAGGAGGAGGAAACGGAGGAGGAGGAGGAGGAGGAGGAGGAGAAGGAAACGGAGGAGGAGGATGAGCAGGAACGGGTGGGTAGGAGATGATGCAAACGGAAGAGGACCTGGAGGAGAAGGTGTCCATTCTCGTACGAGACCCTTGCCTCTTTCTGGCTGCTTGTCACCTTCAAACCGTTGTCCTGTTTGCAGTAGGTTTGAATCGAGATGGCTTCTGCGTAAGCGCGGAATGCGCCCTTCCTTCTCTTCGCGCTACCCCCTTCGGTCGCGACAGGCGGCTCATCTTTTTTGGCAACTTTGCTGTAGGCGAACACCTGTGACGTTTTACCGTTTCAGTCGAGGGCAGCACCGTAAGTTTTGCCACGAAACGCATCCAACCAACAAACCACTCACTACTTCTCACCCCTCTCTCCCCGCTGTGGCCCCCCCTGGCGCTTTCTCTGACAGGGTTTAGCTCTGCAGCTCCACCATTTGCCGACTAGTACCTGCGAAGGACCAGACTCCGTTGGGCTTTCGGGCTCGTATGTCTGCGCATAGGTATGCTGCCATAGAACATTTCTTCGTGTGGGGAAGAGAAGGAGCAGGGGGAGGGAGGAGGCGGAAGAGGGGGAGGATCACATCTGGCAGGAGTGCTGGGGCGAGCCACTGCGGCGCCCGACTTGCGCCCCGCGGCCGCGCCGAGAGGCGGACGACGGCATGTTCGACGGGTCGTGGACCACGAGCGAGCAGCACCCCCCCTTAGACGGAGCGGGTCTTTTTCCCATCCTCTTCCACCCCTTCCGCCCTGCCCCCACCACACCTTTGTGGGCCCCGGAAACAGCAGGGCCGTTTTTTCACCGTTTCCCTAAAAATGCCCATTGAAAATGGAAACGGCAAACAAACGGCGACCGGAAACGGCAAAAAAACGGCTCCAGGATTGGAACCAGAGCCGGAACCGGTCAGAAAACGGCGACGGAAAGGGTAAAACAACGGCGTCGGAACCGGCAAAAAACAGCAAAACGGAACCGGTAAAAAAACGGCCCTGTCGTTTCCAGGGCCCACTAAGCACACCTCCCCGCCTCCCCTCCGCTTTGCCCCTCCCTCCCCCTTTGCCCCGTCTCCGCCTGCGCTAGGCCTGTCTTGGCCTCTCTTTTTTCTCACCCCCCCTCCTCTTGCCCTCCACCCTTCCTCCTCCTCGTCCGCCCCCACCTCCCCTTCCTCCTCCTCGTCCTCCCCGCCCTTCCTCCTCCTCGTCCGCCCTTCCTCCTCCTCGTCCTGTCTTTGGCGGCGGGCGGGCTTTCCTGCGTCCAGCTGGCTGCTCCCGCTCTCGCGCGCAGTGCGCTTGCGAGTCCGAGCTTGTCAGCTGGAGTGAAGTTGGGGTGAGTGGCTGCTGGGGCGGGAGAGGAGCAACAACGGTTTGATACAACAGACGAGAAGCTGGTTTAATATGGTTTGAGGCGGTATTTCAGGATAAAGTTGGGCGTGGATGAGACAAGGAAAATCATGAGATGGGAGAAGGCTGGGTGAACGTGAAATGGACAGATGGGTACGGTAGGTTCGCGTCCTGCCGACCGGCGGAGACCCCGCCGCGGGCGCTCAACACTGAACGCCGCCGGCGCCCAAGAGTCGGTCGATGCTGAAAGATCTGACGTTTCGGAAACGGCCGGTTGAACGATCCCCGCGGTGTCAGGAGGCAACGCGAGGGTCGAGACGACACGAACCTGCCGTGGGCGCCTCAAAGAAGACGTCGGCCTGCCAGCAGGTGCGCCGTGGAAAAATGCCTGGTCCCCCAGATTTCAGGAGGGAAAAAAAACACACAGACACAATTAATCGTCGATTCCCGCGAAAATATGGGAAAGTATGGGAAGTGGGGGGGGAAAACAAAAACCCAGAACATATGGGAAAATGTGGGCGTCCAAGGGCACATGGGCGGGTAGCGGGGCCCCAGGACCGAACAGCGGTGCCCCCTTTGGGGGGGCTTGGCGCGCGGCCAGGGTGCGAAAAGGGTTAGCAAGGTGATCGAGTGGGAGTCGGGATGCGAGGTCGAGCGGTGGCCTCGCGGGCCGGGCAAGGGGCCAGGATGCAGGGGGCGCTGCAAGGTTCGACTAGACGTAAGAGTGACCTTCCGCCAGAGTGACCTTTGGTGCGGGGACAGATGGGTCCCCAGATGGCTGGAAACGAGGCAGGAGCAGCGGCTTGCGCGCCCAGGTTAGGTCCGCCCGCGGCCCCCCAAAAGCCGCGCGCCAAAGGTCACTCTTGCCCAGGGTCACTCCTGCGTGTAGCCGAAAGGTGGTCGAGTGGGAGTCGGGATGCGAGGTTGAGAGGTGGATGCGTACTGAGGCTGCGTGTTACTATACGCGGCGATTCCTTCGAGGCCGAGACAGGAGAGGTGGGACGTATCGTCGTCACGGGCAAGACGGTGACGATGACGGTTGAGGATGAGACGTGTGGCGGTTGGCTTATGGAGGACGGCTCCGTTCGCTGGAGCGATGGCGATATTTGGGTCCGCTCGAACTCTGCACACAATGCTCGAGCACGCCGTGACAAGCCGCAAGCTGCCAGCAAGCAGCACTGGAAGAACAGCCAGGGTATCTGCATCGCGATCGACGGCGATTCGTTCCGCACCGAGACTGGCGAAGTCGGGGAGTTCCAGGTGTTCGGAGGCGCAGGCAAGAGGGAGTGCACCCTGAAGCTGGAGGGGGAGGTCAGCAAGGGGTGGTACGAGACAGATGGCTGCATCCGCTGGAACGACGGCGACGTCTGGTATCTAGCCGCGCTGCCGCGCGAGTCTGCCTCTGCGCTCGGGCGGGCGCCTCGGGTTCAGGGGCAACGGGGGAATGGGCTCAGGGGGACGTGCATCGACCCCCGATCGCCCACTCATCGTCGATAAGGGCTCGACAGCCCACCGCGCCTAGGACTGTGGGGATTCGCCATCGGGGCCCAACTGCCGATCCATCGGCCAGGTCGATGCTCTCCCCCCTTGAGCCTCCGATCCTCCCTGACGTTCCGGCGCGGAGGGTGCGCCCAGGAGGGGGCGTGCTGCGAAACGTGGGTTGGTTGGCTTGGTTTATGTTGGCAGGTTTTTTTTGGGGAAGGCAGCGAGTTGTTTGGTTTTTGGTTTGGAAGGCAGCTTTTGTTTTCTGTGGTGCCACTCTTCGATATTGGGTGTGTTTGATGTTGGGGAGGCAACGAGTGAACGCTTGTCAGGCTCGCTGCGTCGGGGCCATGATCTGTTCTCTCGCAAGAAGCGGAACTTACCAGTACTGCAAAGGCCCCTCCCCCACGCTCGGGATCCCGCCAAAGGGGGGGTGGGGCTCCGGGGTGCATCGCCCACCAAACCACCCCAACCCAACCCGAAGGCCCCGATTTGCTCTCCATGTCCAACGGGGGGGTGTCGGGGAACATGGAAAAACACATATGAAGCCCGTCCCCCCCCAATCCGAAATCAGGCAAAATTCGGGTCTTCGGGTTGGGTTGGGGTGGCTTGGTAGGTAGTCAGGAGTGTGTGTGAGTTCGATCGGTTTGCGCACCGAACCGCCCAAAACAGATGCTCCCCAGTCGCCGGCAGCTCCTGATAGTTGCCGATGGGTGGGGCATGCGGGGGGCACCTGTTTGCGGCAGTTCGGTGCACCAGCGGATCGAACTCAAGCCCCCCCCTCAGGGTCACCCCCCTTTCTGGTGAATCCCGAAAGAAGCGGAACGAACCAGTACAGCAAAGGCCCCTCCCCCCCCCTACACACGCACACACCAACCGCTGCAAGCGCGGTGGCAGACCTCGAGGAGCACGAGTCGGGCGTAGACCAGCTGCAAGAGATGTTCCCATCGTGGGAGCGCGAGTCTCTCGTGGACGTCCTGGCCGCGTTCAGCGGAGACCTCGAGAGAGCGTCGCACAATTTGCTGCAGTGGACGAACCAGGGCGGGCATCCTGAGAGACGCTTGGACGGGAGGCCCAAGGCGAAGCCTCAACCGGCCACGCCCTTACGAGACCCCGCTTCTTCGATCTGTGGTCGATCTGGCGATCGACCAGGATCCTGCCAGTCGATTGGGTGCCCCCGATCAGTCTTGGGTTGGGCATGTCTCCCTACAGGCGGAAAAATAGCCAAGCAACAACAATCAATCATAGCCAAAAGAGCACGAACATCGTCCCATATCTTTTTTTCGACTACACGTAAGAGTGACCTTTCGCAGGAGTGACCTTTGGTGCGGGCTCAGCGGGCTCCCCCCGATCGCCGAGCGCGATGCGGTATAAGCGGGCCGCGCCCTTGTGTTTGGCTCCCCTTCGCCCCCCAAAGCTGCGCACCAAAGGTCACTCTTACCCAGGGTCACTCTTACGTCTAGCCGATTTTTTTACCATTCTCGAGTAGTCCTCCTGTAGAGGGACATGCCCGACTTAAGCTCAGTCCTCCCCCCACACTTTCTGGGCTTCTCTCAGGGCCTGAGGAGGTCTCCTGGAGGGGTCTCCGGGCGCTTCCGCCCCCCGGGGCTCTCTGCAGAGGCCTCCATGGAGCCCTCCACGGGGGCCTGGAGGCGTGCCCAACACCCGGGCCCTCTAGCCCAGAGGCTTGCCCAACGCCTGGAGGCGGCCAGAGGATCCCCCTGCAGAGCGATCTAGACAGTCGCTCAACGCAGCGAACACAGATTCAGATGCTGATATACTTCAAGATCCCGTCTTCTTCTATTGCCGTAGAAGGCAGACAGGTCGTGGATCGCTTGTGGTTTGTCTTGTCTTGTCCTGTCTTGTCCTGTCCTGTGTCTCGTCTTGTCTTGTCTTGTCTTGTCTTGTCTTGTCTTGTCCTGTGCTGTCCTGTCCTGTCCTGTCCTGTCCTGTACTGCCTTGTCTTGTCTTGTCTTGTCTTTTCTTGTCTTGTCTGAACGTTGTACTCGAAAAAACGAATGCGGGCGGCGCTGGGGCGGGATCCCTACTTTGAAAGCACGCAGTGTTCAATCTTTGCAAAGCCGCTACAAGATCTTGGCACGAGTTTGCGTGGAGGTTGAGGCGAGGGCCCCACCCTGAAAGTGGACGGCCCTCAACTTTCTGGGTTTCTCAAAAAGCGTGGGGGGGTTCCCCCCCGACGGGGGTCCACCTCGCCTCGGTGTCACGCCGCGACGGGGTCGGAGCGCCTTCGGCGCGCAGTGGCTGCCCGCGACGGGGGTCGATGTGGGGCTGTCGGCGGGGGTGGCGTCCCCCCACGCTTATCAAGAAATTCGGAGTACGTGAAGCTTCTGCAACATGTTGAAGCGAGTGCGAGCGTCGCTGAGGCGGGAGCACCACTTCGAAAGCGACCCCCCCTTACATCCTTGAGGGGGAGGGAGGTCAGGATCAGGAGAAGGATTCTGATGCTCCAGCCGACTTTAGCCTTGATCACCAGGAAGAATTTCGAGCGGCCAAACAAGTACCGAAACTCAAGGGTTTTCACGTGTCGGGCCCTGGGAGACACTCGCCCGACACTGTTTCGACACCGTTTCGACACTCGTTTGACATTTTTTGGGGTGCTTGGAATTATTTCTGGGATGTGGTCCTTAAGTAGGATGGGAACAACATAAGAGAAGGGGAATATGAGGACGAGGATGGTGAGCGGGGCCAGGGTCAGCCTGGGTCCCCGAGATCCCCGAGGGCCCTGGGAGGCCGCCGGAGGATCCAGACAGGACCAGAAGCCTTCCAAAGTTTTCGCCCCCGCCTCATGAACCTTAAATCGGGCCCGTTCCTCTCCAGGGGAATATTCAAAAATAGTAAAAAATAATCGGGGGACTATTTTTTAAGCATTTTTGAGAATTTTGGAAGGTATTTTGTGAGTATTTTTATTTTTTCGTCGAAAATCTCCCTGTAGGGGGACACGCCCGATTTAACATGAGCCCCGTGACGATGAGTTCGGTGGCAGCTCATGGGAGCCTCCCATGCCATCGTGCTGGCTCTTGCGACTTGACGTCAGCCGACGCTGGTCGACGCTGATCGACGCTAAATCGGGGCTCATCGACGCTTGGTCGGCGCTTTCTCATCGATATTCCTCCCCCGCTTAACGAACCCCGGGAGAATGATTTCGGTGGTAGCTCATGGGAGCCTCCCATGTCATGTTGCTGGCTCTTGCGAATCGACGCTAGTCGACGATAATCGACGCTAAACCGGGCTAATCGACGCTTAGCCGGCGCTTTCTCGTCGATATTCCCCCCCCGCTTCACGATCCCCGGGACGATGTGCTCGGTAGTAACTCATAGGCGCCTGGTTGGTCCTCGGACTTACATCTTGAGAGTGCGTCGGCAAGAGCTAACGTGTGGTCGTCGACGAGGAAGCTCAGGCTTAGCGTCGACTCGCGTCGGCCAGCGTCGATTCGCAAGAGCCAGCAAGATGACATGGGAGGCAACCGTGATTTGCCACAAGAGATGAGCAGGGTGAGGCTCGGGTCGGATTCTGGCCATGGATTTGCCTGGATCCCCGGGTGTGCTCAGGAGCCCTCCCGAGCTCTCCGCAAGCCCTCCGGAGCGGACCGAAGACTTCCAGGAGCCTCCGTCCCCGATGCACGAGCCCCAGGGTTGGTGATCTGATCAGGGTCGAGATCGAGATCGGGCCGCAGATCAGCGTGGATTCGGCTGCGCGTAGGAGTGACCTTGGTGCGTGGTCTGCGTCACTCCAACATACTATACTATGTGTGCGTCGCCCCCGAGGGGCGACTCATGCACCGAGACATCTTACAGTATATGCGTCGTGGCGGGCGCTTTCTGATCGTAGCGCTCGGGAAGCGATATACTACAATATGGGTATACTACATTCGATGCTCGTTTTGGGGACCTTCCTGGGGCCCACCTAATGGATCTGTTCGACTCAGGTTCGACTCAAGTACGACTCAGGTTCGACACAGATTCGACTCAGATTCGACTCAGGTTCGACTCAGCTTCGACTCAGGTTCTACTCAGGTTCGACGCAGCTTCGACGCACGATTGGAGCGAGTGGCTCCAGGAAGATCCCCAGAACGAGCATCTAAACTACATGTCTGGGTCGGATGCACGCCTCCGCGGAGGATGCATAGTACTAGTACGTCCTTGTGCGCCCCATGTGGTGCGCGGTAATACAGTCCACCCGCATAGTACGGATGGACAACCTTCGCCAGGGTACTTTGTTAGTGAATTTAATTGGTTTTAGGGTTCTAGCAAATGGTCGCAGCCACGCAGAGGGCGTGCCTAGCGACGCCCCAAATGCTCGGTCTCCAGCACTTCTGCGTGGCGGCGCCCCCGCAGGCACGCAGAGGGCACGCGTGGCGACAAGGGCGTCGCCACGCAGAGCGTCCAAAGGCCAAACATTTTGAAGACCAATTGCTTCCACTACTAAAGTACCCTTGCATCCTTGCCCCCTACGGATGTGGACTCTGGATCTGTTTGTGAGGACTGTGCTTGACCTAACAAGTTGGTCAGCCATGCACGGTCTTGTTTGGCGCACATCTTGTGCGCATGTCGGCGAACTGTCGCCGCCCTCGGTCCTGCCCACTGGCTCGCAGAGGAAATCCTCAGTGGCTTTCGCTGGCCAGCCTCTCTCGAGAACGTTCGCGTGGGCCTCCAAGGCCCTTGCCTCCCTACCGCGCATCCTCAGGCCACGGGTGGACTGCAGGGGTCGGGCCGCGGATCGCATCGGTGCGCGGCTTTGGAGGAGGAGGAGGAGGAGGAGGAGGAGGAGGAGGGAGGAGACGGGAGCAGGAGGAGGAGGAGGAGGAGGAGGAGGAGGAGGAGGAGGAGGAGGAGGGAGCAGGAGGAGGGAGGAGGAGGGGGGGGCGGCGCGGGGGGGGGGGGGGGGGGGAGGCCAGACCCAATGCACGCGGGCCGCCGCTGTGCCGCATCGCTCTCGCGCCGCGGTCGGCACAGGGCCGCGCGCCGAAGGGGCCGCGCTCTTGCGCGCCACTCGCCATGGCTCGGACGTGTGCATTTTTTCTCGGCGGGGGACCTCGAGGAGCATTCTGGATCAAGTGGCGGGAAGCAAAACGTGCACGAAGCCTAAACATGTGCGCGGACGGCATCTATACACCATTACCACCTTGCATGGCCAGGGCCATCCTGGGCCCCACTAGGGTGTACACGCCCTCCGGGCCTCGGCCAGGCGGGCGTGCACACCATGCCTGGGCTCAGGCTGGCCCTGGCCAGTCACGGTGGTGGTGTACAGATGCCTTCTGTGCGTGTATCGCCAGGCACGGGGAATGGGCGTCCGAGCGATGGCCGGGCAGCATCGGATGGCGATCAAGCGCTGCTCGTGGGGAGGGGGTCGCCGCGCAGCAGCGCCCCCCCTGGGTGGGGGGGGGGGGCGGCCGTCGCGCAGCAGCGCCCCCCTCCGGGCGAGGCCCGGCCAAGCTTGGGCTCCCTCGGGGCCTGCTCGTGCGTGAGCGCTGGGCCCCGCCGCCGCCGAGGGTCTCCGTCGCGCCGCCCCGCTGGAAGTCTTTTTTCCCACGGCAGAGTTTTTTTTTTGTCGGTGGCAGGTCCGGGGAGCCTGGTCTGCCCTCTTCATTCCGTCTTCAGCGTCGCCTAGCGTGGGTTAACGTTAGCGTCTGGAGCCGATGAGATAGCGCCGACTTAGCGTCGATTTAGCGCCGATCGGCGTCGATTCAGCGTCGATGGCGTCGATCTAGCCTCGATGAGCGTCGATCTAGCGTCGATCCGCGTCGGTTCGCAGGAGCCGGTAAAGAGGGTATGGGAGGCTCCCATGAGTCGCCACCGATTTGTTTCTTTCCGTCAAGGTCTGTCCCCCCGCGTTTGTTTTCTCTGCTGACTCGTCCGCGCACACTTCGGAGGGAGGATGGCCAGTGGAGACCACGGCGGTTCTCTCTTCCGCCCAACCCACGTCCGTTTCGCGAGTCCGCCCCCTGCCCCCTCCCAGGTCTCCCCCTCCTTCTCCTCCACCTCCTCCTTCTCCTCTCTCCTTCTCCTCCTCCTCCTCCTCCTCCTCCTCCTCCCTCCTCCTCCTCCTCCTCCTCCTCCTCCTTCTCCTCCTCCTC